GGTGACGGGCAGTGACGTAACGGGAAAATGAAAATACAGATAAGAGAAGATAGACGGTGCAGTGACATTTCTGGAGTGGGTCAACCACACGACTAGTTTCGACCTCGCAAGTCGTGACCGCACCGGCTTGTTCTGTCCCTCTATTTCGCGTTGGACGTGCTTGTTTGCAAACTGCGCCGTGATGCTACTTTGAATTTTTTCTTTTGCGATGTCGTTTAGGTCCTGCATAGATTCGTGAGGCTGCTGTCCTCTTGCTTGCTTGCAAGTGAGTTCGGATACGAAATGGGTTGACACTCATGGTCCTTTCTATAAAACTTTTGTAGGGCCTAGTTGGTACATAGCATTAAGGTGTTTCAAATGACAGGCTGATGTGCTAGTTGGCATTGCATAACTCGGAACGCTAGCGCAAAGGATCGCACACACGTCAACTGATTAAGACTAGACACAGTGCTATGTCCCGTCTTGATCAGTTGTCGTCCGTGTAATCATTTGCGCTAGTGTTCTGAGGTAAGCATTAAGGTGAAAACTGCAGTGAAAACCAGGACGAACCACAAATAGATGAGAGAAAGACTTGCCTAATCTACGATTTGTGCTTGCCTTATCTATTCGTTTTGGGCCGTCCTATTTCGAAATGAAGCTTTGGCGTGCACTGGATTCTCAATGAGAAAAAAGATCAGCTTGACCTTGTTGGTACTTAACGTAACTGTTAGCTAGAATTAGGACGGGACAAGTTGTTAGACTCAACAATAATGAGAACAGACAATCAAGACAAGGCATGTTTAGGGGATGCAACTTGTAGTAGTTGTGATGTAAATGTGAAAAATAAAGTGGACGAAAAAATAACTTGCCATGGGCAGGGATCATACCTGAAACTTTCGAATAACACGACTGATTCTCTACCAATAACACCAGATTTAAACACCGTTCATGCTTTTTTATATTCGTTGTATATTCTAACTACAGCAAAATGACTTCGACATTGATTGATTGACATGTTGGGTTTAACGTCCTAAAACCACCATATGATTATAAGAGACGCCGTAGTGGAGGGCTCCGGAAATTTAGACCACCTGGGGTTCTTTAACGTGCACCCAAATCTGAGCACACGGGCCTACAACATTTCCGCCTCCATCGGAAATGCAGCCGCCGCTGGTGACTTCGACATTCACAGCTTCAAAACTGTGCAATGATTCTGCATTGCCTTAACTATGAAGATCTCTTCATTTTTTGATGAATCCAAACTTGTTATTCAGCCTTTCATTAACAAGACTAAACTTAATCCTCCCGCATATCGCTGTGTAAAAATTTCCTGTTTCTAATTTTGAGAAGATATCATTTCCTGTATACGGACGGATGGACGGAAAAACTTTATTTAAAAAAAAGGAAACCCTGCAGGGTTACCGGCCCGGGCTCTGGCCACCCCGACGTTTTGTTCGGTGAGGCGTAGCCTTTCCACCGCTGTCGGGGCCCGCTGGATTGCCCACAGTTGGTCGTGCAGATCTGAGCTAGTCAGCGCACTTAGCCAACGCTCCTCGAGAAGGTCCGGTTTTATATTGTCCTCTCGGTATATTACTGTGACCTGTGTACATAGCCATAAAATATGTGCCATATCTGCGTGTTCGTGCTTACAGTTTTGGTGGTTACATATAAATGATGAATTTGCTGCTGCACGCCCTGCCGCGGTGGACTAGAGGCTAAGATACCCGGCTGCTGACCCGCAGGTCGCGGGATGGAATCCCGGCTGCGGCGGCTGCATTTCTGATGAAGGCGGAAATGTTGCAGGCCCGTGTGCTCAGATTCGGGTGCACGTTAAAGAACCCCAGGTGGTCGGAATTTCCGGAGCCCTCCACTACGGCGTCTCTCATAATCATATGGTGGTTTTGAGACGTTAAACTCCACATAGAAATCAATTTGCCGCTGTATCCGAATATCTGTACTTCATTCATTATTTATTAGTTGCATTTTAAAAGCTTTTTTTGGCTGTCTTGTTCACTGCGCCCTGTTTTTGTGCTTCTTGATGTTATTAACCTAGACTTCCGATGCACTCTACAACTAAGAAGACCTTTTCTCCGCCGCGGCGGAGCAGTGGTTATGCGGCTCGGCTACTAGCCCGAAGGTCGTGAGTTCGATCCCCGTCCTGGTGGTCGCATTTTGATAGACGCGAAATGGTGGAGCTCCGTGTAGTGCGCGATGTAAGTGCACGTTAAATAAGAACACCAGATGTTGAAATTTGCGGAGCCTTCCACTACGGCGTCTCTCATAATCAACTAGTGGTGTTTTTGCTGTGAAACCCGCCATATTAATAAGGGCCCCTGCTATGCATATTTTCTTGTTTCCCATTTCAATGCGCGTTTGACCATCATCTTAAAGTTAAAGTTCCCATATGCCGCACTAACACTTGCCATGTTTTTTTTTTTGCCTCAAACAACCAGTGACTGGAACCACCTTCCTGCCTCCATTGCTGCAATCGAAGAATCTGCCGCCTTCAAAATTGCAGTTATTGATGTATTGTTGTCAGACCACTCCTCTCTGTAATGCCCTCTGGCCCTGAGAGTATAAAAATAAATAAATAAATAAATAAATAAATAAATAAATAAATAAATAAATAAATAAATAAATAAATAAATAAATAAATAAATAAAGATAAACTGACTGTGACTTTGATTTCGAGGTCACTTCTACAACATGTTTCAAACAAAGACAGGTTATCAGCGTGTGTCACATTAACGAAATGTCTCTGAGGAGTAATAGTTACGGTCAATGCTAGAAGAGGAAACTCACGCGCAAACATTTACGCAGTGAAGTATGCCATCAAAAAAGGAACGCTTACCAAAGAAATCGCATCGACGTCTCAATAATGAGCCGTGGAAAACGCCAAACTGAACGACCAGGAGCGCGCCACGAGCGATGTACCGAAACAATGCTTGGTAATGCATCGAGGCGCAACCTTGTATAAACGTACAATAGTGCAGAATCAAGCTTGTGCACGAATAAAAAAAAGTCAGATAAAGGAAATAAAAAAGACAGTAAAGGAACCAAAGGAGGAAATGCGTCGCCGAGCCGTGGAGAGTCTCCATCGTGTCTAGAATCATCACGAGAGCAGTTTTGTCAGCCCTATACGCAGTTGGTTGCTTTGTTTGGCCTGCTTAGAACACAAGGGGGGACGTGCTTCTTGGGTCGCATTCGGGGTTACGTTGACTCCTCGCTGACTCTATCCTGACTGCTTACACGGGACATCCTCTGCGCGTGGCTTCTCTATATATACAATATGCGAGAGTGCGGCCAGAGTGTTCACTGCTTCGCACTTGTAAACCTGTCTCTTGATGTAAGATTGAAAGGTTTGACCTTCATGAGAGCCCTAGTACACGTTACTCTGCATGTAAAATGGAATAAATTCCGAGCTATCTATAGTTGGTAGGCATTCGTTGCGTATAAAGTTAAAAGAAAAACAGCGCAAAAACAGAGCAACATAAGAAGAACTACAAAGGACAGGCTTTATTAAGTTACGCCGTGCAAACACGGATGGGCGGGATGAGTGTGATGGTGTTTGTACTGGCTGGTCTTCCCCTTGTGTCGTGTTTGCATGCCTTATGTTTGCACCGAGCACTGGGTGCTACAAAGACAGAGACTTTATGAAAAGCTACCAAGGAATTCAGGTATAGCTATGCAGACGCAAGTTTGTGGTACCGGTTATCAGTCGGGAACTTAGCCAATTTCAGGAAACGTGCCGATGTCGCTGCTTGGGGGAACGCAATATTTTAAGGGACAACGAATGTTTACTTACTTATATGCGCAGTACTTATATGAGCAGCAATAATGCTCCGATGGATACAACGCAAAGTCATAAGCACGATTCTCTTGCGCAGATGATTCGCAGGTGCACCGCAGCTCTGGTGGTTGAGCTGGTTCTTAAAGGTTCTAATCGTCAATAGATGACTGCGCATTCCTTTGCAGTTTTCAAGTTCTCGTGTTGCAGGTTATATCGCAATCTATATTTTTTTATATGCGCCTTTATTTTCACAAAGAGCAGCAAGCAATGTTAACTCGAATTCTGCGAGCCGTTATTCAGTCATGGCTAGCATGCTGCTTGTCCTTATTTTTGTGCAACAGTATGTTGTACGTTTTGTTTAAAGCGTATTTCTAGCATGTATTTCTTTCGTGTTTCCCGCAGTAAGGAGGCAGTGATATTTTATCTCGTTCAAAAAAAAAGCGTGGCCACGGCTGTCAAACATTCCTCGATTAACCAATCGGTATAACGTTTCCAAGGAAGAATATCGGAAAGCGATGAATAGGCATGGGTGATTGACTGACGTCATAAAGTGAACCAGAGGTGCTGATGGTGCAGCCTAAATGCATTACAGCAGCTCAATTGGGAGGCCTGAATATTTTCACATGGGAGTCGCACCATCACCCTATAGTGATAAGCGCCGGAACACAGTAACCGCTGAAGCGTGGCGGGAATGAGCAAATTTGGAGAACCGTTTTGTCGATTGTTATATCAGTTTGTTAACGTGTCTCCAGCTTGCTACAGTTAAACATTGCAGACGGGAACAATGAGATGTTCCAATTATCACGACACGACCTATTCTACACATACTGAAGAAAACTTTTGTGTTTAGTTCAAATTACTTTGCAATACCTGTTTACGCGGCTGCTATCAAGGACTAGTAAAAAAAAAACAACGGGGATAGAGAATCGTCGTATTGTCGATAACTGCTACACGGCTGTACGCGCCCTAACAAATACACTGCATGGCTGAACATTATCTAAAATGCTGATTTAAAAACGCTGCTTTAGTTATACCCGAATCGAAGCTTGCGACTTGATGTTCTGAAATATACTCACAGTGCTTGATGGGCTGTCATCATGACAGAACATTCGACGAGAAATGGTGCAATCAATCATCCCACCTAGCAGTAGAGGTGAAAACGCCTACATTATTTCAACGCGATGAAGCAGAATAAACGCTATCAACAAAAGCTCACCGTGCATCAACTTACCGTTTGTTTGCCGCCGTCCTTATCACCCTTCTCTGGCTTCTCGATGGGCCCGGCCACAGCCGATCCAAGCCATGCGAACGTGACTAGGAGGACCACGTGGTGAAGCTGATCCCGCATGACTCCTTGGAACGATCCTCGAGACAACAATCGACAATGAACGCTGGTCTGGCACTGTATGGACAGCGATGAAGCGAAGCCCACGATTTCGCCGTCTGCCTAGACGGTGTCGGGAGCAGACGAACTTATGGGCAACAGGAGTAGCAGGAACGGGTCGACCGACTGGTCCAGTCTCTAACGGCAAATGCTGGGCCACTGATCGCGGGCAGCTGCATTTGGCCCCGTCCCGGGGGCGAGTTTCGAGGGGAACCGAAACAAGATGAACAGAAAAAAAAAAGCGAAATGGAGGAACTATTTCCTCCTCTTTCTCAAACCGTTGCGGACGCTACAGGTAAAGGTAGCCGGACGGCTCGCTGCAGGTCATTTTACCCTCCACACTTGGAAAGGGCGTACAGTTTCCTCCTTCCAGAGGTAGGCCGCTTGACTGCGAACGCGCGTTGTTCTGCATGAGGGGCGAGCACTAAACCGAATCTTCGGTTTCACGTACCCCCATTTGGCTTCGCTCGTTCCAATGGATTGCGTGTCGCACAGTGTTATTCCGCTTGTGAAGGCGTTGCAGACTTAGCCATTCCTCGAACATGCGCAAACGGGGCGACCCGTAAGAAAAGAAGGTGAATGTGGTGCGCTTTCGAAGAGGAAGCACTAGATGCGTCCATATTTTAACTTCTCGAAGTACAGCGTTGCGTTAAAGGGTCCCTAAGTAAACATTCCTAGTTAAAAGATGAGAGAGTGGCTACTTTTTTCCTTTTACTCGAATTCCTACAGGTGCTATATCGTCTGCGCGAGCTTATTATCGCGATAAAACACGGGGATGGTCTCAGCACTACGCGTAGAGCTTATCAGAGTTTCACTGTTTTTGAGTATGCGCGGTAATCTCCGCTGGCACAGTTGAAAGTGCAAAAAAAAAAAAAAATTGCCCGAATCTACATGTTACACTGTAAATGTCGTCGAAAGACGATAGTCTTGCGTCTGGAGAGAGTGAACAAAACGTTTACTTGATGTTCTGCGCAAGAAAATCGGTGAATAGTATTCTGAAGGTGCTGCGTTAGAGTGCCTCGAGCGTGTAACGGAGGCGAACAAGCGCATCTAGGCACGTTAGACACGAGCGCCATCTGGCAGTTATCTTCGAAAACAAAGACGTGCATGACCTCGGAGAAAGATGCGCGCCAGTCACGGAGATGATAAGGTGTAAAATGGAAAGCGACGGGCAGGTGCCACCACCGTGCCGTGGTACCAAAGCGTTGGAAACACCTTCTTGAGCATCTCGTTGCACTGTCAGCGCAGCGCGTTAAACGCCACAGTCCTTAGAGTATACTTGTGCGTGCCTCATCTAGTATAAAGGCAGACATACAATACATGGACATGTTGTTATTGTGCCTCAGATATGCGCAATATTTGTTTTTTCAATTGACAATTGCGCAGCTATGAACGCTAAACTTTGAGCAATATTGGTGGGCGCTGCATATGGGGTTGGCCGTTCAGTGCCGTTTGAATTATCGTTAGGGCGAACAAACAGACAAATGTACATACAGACAGACAGACCAAAATTTTTCCGTTGAAGGTCCTCAAGAAAGACTATCGTCTTTAAAATCACGAAGCAAATAGGTCGATCACTCACAATAGTTAGTTTGAGAAGAAACAGAATGGCTATACGAGGCTGCATGGTAAAGCAGGGTAGGGGACAGTTCGCAACTGATTCATCTTTTGTGGACCAATCGGGGCTTATCTTCACGACATCACGTGAACAGCGTGGACGTCGCGAAATGTGCCGTAAAGATGGGTAACGCTCATGCTTTGTATTTTCAGGGGGGTGGTAATCCGGACATTGTCGAATTTCGCCATGTTGTCAGATTCTGTCATTAATCGGTGCTAATTGGCCAAATGAGCTGATAAGACCTCTATGATTGGCTTAAAATGCCGTCATTACGAAATTTGACAACATGGCGCAATTAGACAGTGTCCAGAATAGCACCCAGGAAAGGCTTCCGTGGGGCATTGTAAAATGTGCACCTTCACTTACACGTTAAAATGAAAAAGTTATCAACATGCCCTGCTTATAACCTTATTGAATGAAGACGCGCAGATAGCGCTACGTTTCCAACAAATGTCTTATTTTACGGTACCAACTACCAAGTTATACACTTTTGCACTAGCTGCAACTAACACTTGAACGATTCTGATCAATATTAAATCAGCAAACTTTAGCTGCCGATAATGCATTGTAAGCAATGATCAAAGAAGGAACTGTCAAATTTTTGAACAGCATCCCACTTCAGCGCACGTGCAGGTATTGCTTTCTTTCTGTGGGAAAAATATAACCGGTGATGCACGGGTCAGCAGTCCGTTGATTGCGCTGCCATAGAGGGGAAAAAAAGAAGTGTAACTTGAAGGCTCATTTCATCGTTTGTCACAACCTTAACGAACTTGAGTTGTCATACGTGAATGACACGACTTCAGTGTTACAATAATATCCGTGGTCCTAGGTTCCGAAAGCCACGCTATGAGTATGAGAGTCGCTGTAGTGGAATGCTCCTGAAATTTGGAGCACCTGGGGTTCTTTTGCTTGCACTTAAATCGCACAGTACACGGAACTACACCTCTTCGCCTCCACCGAAGTGCGACCACCGCAACTGGGATCGAACCAGCGACCTTTGGTTTAGCAGCCTAGCATCCTAATCGCTACTACTGCCTTAATAAGAAGAGTTGCAATACATATTCATGACCTGGAATGTGAAACAGTTGTAAATTTTTTCGGCCTCTTTACTTTGATATTGTTTTCGCTACATGGCTGGCGGTTCAAGTATGCCGACGTATACTACGAATTATGCGGTATAACGTACTCGCTTTCAGGAGGTGCAAGAGTGTACAACTAGGATTCGGTACACCATGCGCGTGTCTTGACGTGCCTTGTTCGTGGGTCATCGTCTGATTCGCGTGACCGTGTATGTTCATCATGGCAGACCTAGGTGGTCGTTCTTCAAATATCCGCAAAAGAGGGCGACCCACAAAAATAGTAGGTAAACGTGGTACGCTAAGTCAGAAACAAAGATGGCATGCATAAGGCGTTGTCAGACTGAAGACTTGCTTTTAGAGAGGGCCCCGCCACGAAAAGGGTCTTGCCCCGCTGATAGTAGTGCACAAAAGCACACACGTGCGCATGTATACAAAGGGTAGAAAGGAAACAACTCCGTCGTGGTGTTCTTTATTTCTCGTTTCTTCTCGTTTTGTTTTTGAAGCCGACAATACCGCTTTTTTAACGCATTTCCACTGGCTAAGCTAGAGCTCTTCTCTTAATGGTCTTTGCATGGCTTGACTTGCACTAACCGATGAGGTAGTCAAGAGTGCATGCTCTTTGCAACGCATTTTTTTCTTCTTTTCTGCAGTCTTTGCATTTCTTGGAACTCTCAGCCACACTGGGGGGCAGTGGCCTTTGGTCAGTCGGCTTTGGTGACTGGTGTGGAGGGGAAGGGGAATTCGTCCTTTTTAGAGTTTGCTTGTTTCACATTTTTTTTCTTACGTTACGAAGTTACCTGTTTTTTTTTTTTCTTTGATGGCGGCCAGGTGTAGCTACCCATGCGGTTTTGAAGGAAGCCCAGGTGGGGGAGCGAAAATGACCAGTGGACAGCAGTGGTCCATTTTTAGGAGCTTGAGTGAGCTATGCGTGACCCCCCCCCCCCCTTCTCTACCCCGCCAGTGACGACGGTCCAGTGAATTTCGGGTGCACTCCTTGTTCCTTCTTTGTTCCGTGGTCCAGTGACGCAGCGACCGGTGATTTGCATGCCGCATGAGCGGGACTTGCCAATCGTTCATTTTTGGTTTAGTCTTTCTTTTCTTTATCCGAAGCCTTTCCTTTTGTTCAGCGCAGTTTCCCTCTTGTGTGGACGTGTGCGCACATTTTGATGCTGCTTCTATCCTTTACGAAAGGTAACCTCTCGTGGACGTCCAACTGAACTGCCATGATAATGCTCTTTGAACATGAACTGCCCAAGGGGAGGAATTTATTCTTGTTAGTAAGGTATTAGGCAAAAATTTGGCGAAAATTTGGCATTAGAAAAAATGGGGGGGGGGGGGGAGAGGGGGCTTAAGCTTCGTCTTTAATTGCTGAACGCGATTGCGACATCCTGTCGCATCCTGCAAGGTGAATGTGTTTCTGATTTTTTTGTCTAGCGAGACGTGATGAAGTGGCGCTCAGTATATGTAAAAATCCACGCACACACATTCGCTAAACAGTCGCATATGTATTACATTGGCAGTTGCTTCTAGTTGCGTAACTGATGTCAACAACAACATGAATATTAGAAACCCCTGGGAGCGGTAAGCTGATATGAAGCTAATGTTTTTAGCTGGGGCTGACGAGAATTGTAGCCCTCAACACTGCTGCACAAGATCAACCTGAGTGGAAGGCGTCTAGCTACAATTGACGCTAACCCGACATGACGGCTGTATCATATAGGAGTACGTACGTAGTGTGTATGAAATTTGATAACCAGTACTGATTTATTCTTTGCATTCGTCCGGTCAACGCTGCGTATGTGAGGTTTTTTATGCACTCAGACGTTAAAAGTACCCATGTTTGTTCTCGGGGTTCCTTGGTATATATAAAATGCCTAACACCTGTGGCACAAACCCGCCCCTGGTTACATTACACTGTTTTTATGAACGTGTTTGACGACGTATGTGTGGAGATTGTGATATATTCATGTCAGGACCAGCGCGTCGTATTCGTCCGAACCATATTGCCCTCCCGTACTAATTTTGGTGTACATCAAATTACGGGGGTGATCATGAGAGCACCCAGACGTAGGTGCATAGACAGATGGATAAATACGCAGATATATGCTAGAAGTGCTTGCAGTACTGCAAAGAAATGCTTTGAATTTAAAATACCTCTTCCGGTCGATTGAGTCACAACTGCCCTACGGCAACACAGAAATACCACATGTCTGCTGCGCAATCCACACAATGCGCTGAACAAAAGAAGTAGGCGAAGGTGAACTAAATAATTAGAAAAATTAATTGCGCCTAGCGTGTATAGAGGTGCAGTGTTTACGTCATCGTATCTGACTCCCTGCCTGAATTTGTGAACCGCATCGGAAGTGAGGAGAGGAAGGAAATTGTGGAAAGGAAAGAGAGAAAGAAAAGAACAGAGAGAGGTTGTACCGTCA